GAAAAAAATGTTATTTTATAATGTTAATGATTATAAAAACAAAACTGTGATCAAAATGTGATAATCGATCAAATACTCAATTTATGTTATTTTATGAATAAAAAAAATGGAATATATAATAAAGTTATGAATTTTACTTCATAAATATCCTATATAGTAATTAAAATAACAATTTAGTAGTAAAATTTGATTATTTACAATGTTAACATTCATTTTAGTAGAATGGGTAGACTCGCCCCATACGAGAGATTTGTCAGATTGTTCTATAAAAATATACAGTAACACCGTAACTGTTAATATTTTCTAAAATCGATTTCACAGCTTTAAAGAAGGATAAATAGCGATTCCGAAACAAAAGCCTTTTTTCTTTAATATTTACAAAAGTTTGACCACTCGAAAGTTAACAAACTAAAAAAATGGGTAGACTTGCCCTGGTTTACGGTACGTTATGGATGGGTGGTCTAATGTAAACAATAACAAGCGTCCTTAAACCGGAAGAAATTTAGAAAATTTCCGGTGTATCCCTCCGCTTATGTTATGAGTACGAGGCGATGTATGAACAAGCCTAATATTCTACGCAGTTTTGTTATTGCAATTTGGGTTCAAATCTAAACATATATGTACCATTCATAAGAGCTTTCAGAAATGTATTGATTCTCAGAAGTCGTAAGGCCAAAAAAAATTCTGGAAAGTTAATATCTCATTGTGAATAATTCTTAAGGTTTGCCATGTTTTGTATTTTATCCCTTATTTGGATACATTTGAATAAAATGTCGCCAAAAATATCTTTTTAAGTTAGCCTAATTAGAAAATATTCTAAAGATTATAATATTAATATGATAATGCTGAAGTTTAAAGGCTGAAAGAAAGAACTCGGTACATGTGAAATACTGCAAAAGATATGATGCAATAATATGATGGCGCGTTTTTTCAATCTGCGGTGGAAAAATATATCGGAAGCAGTAACCCGGAGGTCTTAAAAGAGCAATTTTACCACTAGCGCCACCACCCTTAGCTTTACACGATCACCCATCCATTCTACATTCCGTCAAAGGAAGGTTGATAATTTACGGTTCTATAGTAAATACATAATTGGAACAGTTGTTCTAGAATTCCAGCTAATAGTTTCTATTCCAAATGAAGTGTATTAGGATTTGGAGGAACTGATTGGAATTGGCAATGAAGCAGCTCAATTGTTATTGCAATCCTTTCTGCCCCAGCTGCCCTGAAGATTATAGCAGCCTAATATACACTATCAGACTATGACCGGCATAATATTAATGACCTACCAATATCTTTCTTTGTCACCATCAATGAAGTTTATATTGAGAGATTTTTCTAAATTCAAATCAAAAATAATTTAATTACAAGAATCAAATGTGAACCAATTTAGAACACAAAAGAAAGTTAATCAGCATAAAACTACAACTATCAATTTCAAGAAAATATAACTTACAGGTATATTTAACTTGACAGCATCCACAGGTTGGTAAAACGGCCAGGCAAACTGGTGCTTCATTACAACTTTCATTACATTTTTGGCTAGATAATGCAATTGATTAGTATTTCGGTGTGGTTTATTGGATGGTGGGATGAAAGGAGGCTGCACCACACCGTTAACAGGCTCCACAATTGGTTCTTCGTATTTTGGCATCATGTTACTGCTGTTACTCTGTTAAAATTTAAAAAGATCAATATAAACCTTAAAACATTAAAAAAAATAATTTTGAAATCCTAAAATTTTTACATTTCTGTTGTCATTCTCATTTTGAATTGCACCCATGCTTCATTAGACATGAGGAGTTCAAAAGAATCTATTAATTATATCCATTAAACCTAAAAAGAAGAAAAAAAAGATGAAGATTATTAATAAATTCATTTGATACATAAGGTATAATAGAATGAAAATTGTCACAATTATCCAAGATTAATTGTAACTTTATCCAAGATTAATACTGGTAAAGTATAACATAGTATTAATTGATGATTACACAACAACCAGCAAGCTTCACACTCTGCCATTATTTTAACATAATTAAATAAAAATAAATATAAGTGGCAAAAAGTTTAAAATTACTTGATTTTGAGCAAAAGAACAAATGTAAGTAATAAGAAATTAATTATAACTTTAAAATATTAGTATCATAGTATCACACATCTTTCAGTACACAAAATTTGCAGGGAAAAATTAGATTAAAATTAGAAAATTTCAGTCACTCTAAAATGCTATATCTAATAGCACCTTTGGAAAAATGGTATAACTTTTCATCAATTATTTTTTTGTTTTGCACAGTCTGTTACCTATAATCCAATCCCATAAGCAGAATATTTTCAAATGTTCTGCAAGCATTTCACAGTGAAAAAAGTCAACTTTACATTACAATACTATATTTTCATTTAATAAATTACAGGGTCATACACAGATACACTTCATTATTTTTTAAACTAAGGCAAACATTCTTGATTTTTTTTATTTTTAATAAAGACGATGATGATGAATTATTAATAAAATGCATATGATATGAAAATCCGAACATTAAAATAACTATATCTTTCGCTGCCTTACAAATCTTTCGAAGGGACAAGTGCCCAGATGGTGCCATTTGCAAACACAAACATTTGCTGGTAAATAATATGCTTGGATTCAAAGTAAGCAACTCTATTACGCTCACGTGCAGATATTTTACTGAAGTTCGTATCAGCAGGTGTTTCTAGTTGTGACCAGAAGACCAGTTCGGACATTCCTATAGTTACAAAAGCCAATGGGAAAGTGTCCTATCCTTATCTATTCATTGCTAGAGAGGTCATTATGGTCTGTTTCAGGTCATTATGGTCTACAGAAGAATGCATGAGATTAGGGTTGGGGATTGTTCTGTAAGACTACAGAAGGCAGGTGGGCGAGGCAGGGGGGTTCTCAAGAAAATACTGTCACTTATTCAAGATACAAATTGTTCTGCAATGTACATCAAAGTTTTAGGCAATTTCTGCTTCTGGTCCAATAATAATTTTCTAACTTCTACAGTTTCGTATCCTCAATATACCTTGGTAAAACTAGCAAACCAGTTAGCAATTTTGACCAGTTAATGAACTTAACTACTTGNTATTAAAAAATCAACACAAAAACATAGTAAAAATATAGATTTATCGTTTCTTAAGGATACAAAAATAAAATCCTAAGAAAAAGTACTTTGTGAAACTTTAGTTTTTCCTAAAGTTGAATTTGTGAAACTACCGTTTTTCCTAAAATTGAATTTGTGAAGGTACCGCTAAACTGTAGTAAATTCAACGTGGACAGACCCCTGGATATGGATTATGCTAATTTTAAAAATATATAAGTTTAATACTTTACACAAATGATTTAAACAATTGAAATAATTTCTTCTAATTTACTTATGTATCAAATAGTTGCCTTTTATTTGATCAATGGTCAATACCTTTAATTTTATCCTTCTTTATGATGCATGTTATCTTAAAACCAGCTTTAATGGACGACAAACATGTGTACTGAAATTAATGTGTTCATATGGAACCAGTATTCAATAACCTTATAAGAATAAAAGTTGGAATCTGACTAAAGAAGTTCACAATTCTACAACTTTGAACTAGAGAAACATCCTCAAATATTTAAGATCCCTTGTAGTATTTTTCTTTAAGTTATTTTAAATACTAATACTACTATCAGTAAAAAAATCAGAATTTGTTAAAAAATCGAAACATTATAAGAAAACTGGTTCACTCTAAAAATTAGCAGTCAAGTGATGTTTATAACTTATAAGTTAAGGACTTGAAATGCTTCAAAATTTGAAAAGAATTCTTTTGTTTATATGATCCTCACTGTAGGTTAAGATCAAGATTTTCATAATCAAGATTAATTATACTTTAATAAGATTACTAGATGCAGGTTCCAATGAATAACTAGTTTTCACAAAAAAGTATGTTATGATTATTTTACGTTATATGGAAGTTTTTCCAATTTTAATATTGAAGAAAGATTGATATTCATCTTATTTTACTATGATGTTAGAAGGTAATAAGAATAGAAATTATCACTATATCATAGTTATTTACTTTAAAAAAGCATGATAAAATTCTAAGACACTATGTTAAATACTATAAATTGAGAAGTAAATGAACATAATATGAAGGTTAAATCGATTAGGAAACGCTTGCAAGTTTTGATTTTAAAAAAAATCAATTTTAATAACATTTACATTGATATATAGTAAGATAAACTTACATACAAATAGTAATATTTTTTCGATGAATGTGACACGGCCATAAAGCGCTTAATTAAGCATCATGCAAATTAGCTATTATCATCAAGCACTAAGTGGTTAAAATAATTTGATATTAATGATCTCTTATACATAATAAATTGATAATACACAAAAATAGGTAACGACTTGAAAGAATCTTGTGAGCAGTAAGATAGGAATACACAAAACAAGTTTAATAGGGACGGACTATTGCGAGGATTATGTTTGGCCGGCAATACAATCACGCCAAATGCTTTGTTTTTAACGGATTTTGCGCAGCGCCATCTCATTCTAGACACTTTAACGTGAAGAGTCAGCGCCATTTTTTCGCTGTCCCTACCGACAGGCATTAAAAATATAACATGATAAAACAGTCAACTTCATACATTATATTTGCTAGAAGTCAGTTCAAATGATTATGTACTTTATAATCCCTGCAACTACAAAAAGAAACTTCTTTTTTTATATTTATAATATTTTGTTGTTGTCAAATAAGTATCATTGCAGTATACATATATACAGTGAATTAATATTACTCACATCAGAAAAATACAGTTATAACCAACTAATCGCATGAAAATGACACTAATGTGAGAATAAAACAGGATTTTAAGTTATTTTTAGGTGAAACAGAGGAGAGAACATTAATATTGTAGGGATTGTCACTTCGCTTACCGCTAAATGTAAAGGATAAAATGTATAATATATGTGTTGTTTTGATTAAAAATAGAGCATATTACCTCTAGTTAAAGATTTGAATATTTTTTCATGAACTTCTATATATTTTGATGATAAACCATTAACACAATTATAACGGATTACAAATAGAGTTCTACACCAGTTTCGCGACGCGAGCAATGGCTACGATGAAGTACGAGACTCTGCTTTCGAGCATTAGGAAGAGGTTAGACCGAAGTACGTGCTCATTGGCTATTGGACGTCATGTGACCACACCTTAACCCTACATTTATTGTATCTATCTAAATTTGTATAGTTTTTTCTCATAATTTAGTTCTTTTCTTCCCTTAAGAACAAATGTAATGTGAAACCTGACAAATGTACTCATGATGCATGTTAGATTCAGGCATCAAATACAACAGATTCCATTATTCAAGATCAAATATTAACAACGATTTCAAGAGATGCAGCAAATAAAGATATTATTTGCATCAAAAAAATCTTCAGCCAATCAAAGCAAAGACAGTTTCAAGATAACAATTTAAATACTATGCTTAATCGATACAAAAATGTGCTTTAAAATTGGTAATAATTAACATTTGAAGCTTATTTTTTAAAATTCATAAACTTTTTTTAATGAAAAAAATCCATTTGATTTGGGCGTGAAGCATCTTTCACCTAAAACAGCAAGTCCTAGGAAGCTATATTTAATTTATCAGGTTTTAACTATATCATCTTATAATAACAATAATAATTATGGCTTTGACTGTCTAGACTGGTCTTTATCGTAACAAAAATAAGCAGTTTTACTTGTTTTTTACGAAAAATTAATTGCATTGCCGCATCGCACAATCGAAAATAAAAAGAAGTATATATTTTTGCTTTATCAACGTACTTAAATATATCTTACCGGAGATAATTGTAATTCTATCTAAGTGTTTCGTAATATATACTTTTCCCGTTCTGCGAATGGCTATGGCTTCCTGTAACGGGCGAGACGAAAATAAAGCTAAGGTAAGTTTAATATAGACTTGTCGTAACTCGTCGTAGACTTGAAGAAAATAGAATTGTTTTTAAGCATGTAAGGTTTTATTTATACTTCGTGTTTTTTTTTATATAGTCGTATTTGTATTAATATTGCAAATGCTCGTTGGTAGCGGAATACTGCACTCAATTGTTCTGTTAGACTAAATATTTATGGTGATTTTCAGGCGATCGACTTAAATTGTATCAAAAATTTTTTTAGTACGTTGTAAAGACAAAAGTATTTAATACTGTTTCAATAAACGTATCAATATTAATTCAATTAATGGAATATATCCAGTAGCTACGTTCATGGTGCAGGGCAAACATTTTAATGACAACTGAAGTAGCTTGTTTATTTAATATTAAAATATAAAGTTTAGGTTGAGTTCGTATGTTTTTCGGGGAAATTTCAATATCTAGATCTGTGGTAGAATAATCGCCAAGTCTTGGAACTTCTGGGCAGTGCCCGCGAGAAACTAAAAAAAAAATCACAGAACGGGGCTAACTCGAAGAGTGTAACTCATAGCCACCCGCGAGGCAAACATCTACATATTTTTTTTAAAAAAAACTATCCAAGTTTGAAATTTATTTGGCACCTTCGCGGTAGTAGTTGGCGCGACAGATAACGATAGGGAAATATCCCGTGTTTTTCGATGTGTGGGACTAATATGGTTGGGATATTTCGTATTGTGATCTGTCGCATCAACTACGGTCGCCAAGGTGCCGAATTGATTTTAATCTTTCAAAATTTAGAAACAAAAAAACAACTAGATGTTTGCCGAGGGGTGGCTACGAGTTATACCTTTCGAACTGGTCCCTTTCTGTGATGTTTTTTTAAAGTTTCTAGCGGGCAGCTGTCCGGAGGATGCCATGGCTTGGCGATTATTCTGCCGCAGATCACAGGCTTTCTTGCACAACAGAGGGGACTGATTCTACTGATTTTTCGTGCATGAGAATTAAAAACAATTTGATAATGACAGGCTTCAGCTGAAATTTTAATTATATGAAGGAAAATAAATTTTAAATCATGAAAGCTTAAAAGATAGTTCTCTCTAAAAATCATGTTTTTTATAATTTTTTTTAAAGAATATCTTATTTTACATTTTAATAGAATTTGAATGTAAGTGGGTATTTTATTACAATTTCTGATTTGTAACAAAATAATATTTTTCTCTCTTTGACATATTCCGTTGGATTTCAATCATTCTTTCCTCAGTTATTGCTATGAATTTTCATATTTAAAACAAATCAAATACGGATGTTTGTGTTATACAATTATATTACACTTGAAACTCAAATCACTTATTTTATATCATGTATACTTTTATGTGATGATTTCATCCTTTTTATTGCTAGTGCCAATGAATTCCACAGGAATTTAAAAATTCCGTTTAGCTGAGTTGATATTATTTCTACGGGTTCAATTTATGCTGACAGAAATCCATGTTGAAATGTTTCGTTTGTATTTTCGGCAGCGATTGATATTGATTTTCACATGGTTGATGTACCCCATATATTTCTGGCAAGATGGAAAATTCAATTTCACATTGGAATATTTAATTTTTTCTATTCTATTTCTATATCCACTTAGTTTTCAAATCAGATATTTTTAATACAATATTATTTATTATAACTACCAAATCTCAAAACCAAACATGCATTTAGTAACCTCAGATTCGCGTGATTTCCCCGTCGATCTTTTTTTCGATAGTTATTACTACAGATTTCAGGAATTTTAAATAGTTATTTTTAAATGATAAAATTTTTGAAAAATGAAATAATTACTGATTTCCCTCCTACAAAAATAAGAATATTACCTATAATATTAGAATTAAATTATTACCATAATATTATTACCCATAATATTAGAATTCAATATTCAATTAAAAAAATTACATGCAATTTTACTTTATGCAAAAAGTTTTTTTCTTTCTAAATAATACTTTTTTTTTTACTTTAAATTAGTAATTTGTATATTTGCTGGTGTTAAATGCTTATTGCAGAAAGATATTAGTGTGAGATGTTTTTTGCTGAGAGCTGTAAAAATTCTGTCACAGTGGTTCAAAAAATGTCATTTCATCGAAAACAAGATTTTAATAGAATTATTTATTTTAAAATCGAAATTAAAAAAATTACAGAAATCAATTTTAGCTATTAGCTTTTTTCTTTCTAAATAATACTTTTTTTTTTACTTTATTATATAGTAATTTGTATATTTGCTGGTGTTAAATGCTTATTGCAGAAAGATATTAGTGTGAGATGTTTTTTGCTGAGAGCTGTAAAAATTCTGTCACAGTGGTTCAAAAAATGACATTTCATCGAAAACATGATTTTAATAGTATTATTTGTTTTAAAATCGAAATTAAGCCCCCGATTCTAATAAAAATTTATGCAAAGTTTGGTGATAAACATCGTCATAGAAAAAATGCAAATTTTTTCAGGAAATTTAACGTATTTAATAAAGTTAAAATGTTGCTTGATTTAACTAAGTAGGTATGTCCCATGGCAGAAGCGCCACAACACTGCGCCATTGTCACAGAATGTTCTGAGTTCTAGCAGAAATATTTCTCTTTTGGGAAGTAAATAATTTTGGTTTTCATTTCTGCAAAATTTTAGAAAGATTCTTTTTTCTGCAGAATTATATTAAAAAGATGCCTTTCACGTGCGTGAGAAGAGAAAGAAATGCTTGCGATTTTTCTATTCTCGTTTGAGAAATAAATGTTCAATAACGGCTGGTTTCAGCAAAATTTCAAATTGATAATATAGGAACATGGAGGACTTGCTACTCGACAGATTTAATGTGCATCAGTCAGTGTTTTTAATACAGAAAAAAAGGGGGGAGAATTTCTCACCCTTTCTCAAAAACAGGGTGAGATTTCAAAAAGTTAAGTAAGATTTCTAGAAATTAAAAAACACGAATAGACTTGGAAAAAAAAATTATTTCTTTAATTATAATACATTTTTAACATCTTCTAATTTTTAAAGCATTGAATATTTATGTGGCATCATCATACGGAAAATGTTCTTTCTCTATTTTCTCATTAGGTTGCTCAAATGCTTATCAATCAATCTGTTACGATATTTTGTTTTAATTCTGTTTTTTGTGCTAAATGACCTTGCAACAGATGCTGAACTATTCGGAATCACTAAATTTGTGCCGACCGGCCTGTGTAGGGGGCAGGGAACTGTCCTTGCATCAGAAAGGTCCTGGGTTCGAATCCCGGGTTCTTTCTCTCTCTGTGTGTTCTATGTCCTTTCTCCTTTGTGTGTGAATGTGTCCCACCCTATAAACGGGTTGTGGTTGTGTGAATGGCGTGGCAGAAGTCAAATTCCTGCCCATAGATGGCACCACTGAAAAACAGGAACAATCCCACCCCCACTGCCTAAACAGGCATACCACAAAAAAAAATAATAAATATTAAATTTGTAGCATTGTGCACACACCTTCCTATCCTATACATTTGCCAGCATAGACTTTTCAATTATTTCTGCTATAGAATAATGAAGTTTGTTGAAGTTATTTCCATGTTCATACTTTATACTAATATTTTATCCGTATCCATTGAATATCGTATTTGTTTCGTTTTGGCCATTTCTACCGACATTTGTTTCATTTTCATTTGTTGCCTTTGCAAGGTATTTATCCATCTTACATTCATGCACAAAATAGTTAAACGTCTTACATGAAGAAACCTTACCTATGGTGAACATGTGGTTGCAGAGAAATGTGTTCTGAAGAGGGTTCGAGAGGTGGGGGTGGTGCTCTGCTGTTCTCACCGGTTCTGAACAATACTGGTAAATAGTGAAGCTAAATAACAAGGACCGATGTTGAAAATAATGAAAGATCAAGGAAGAAAAGGTAAACAGATTTCATTCAAAATTGCGGAAGACTAAATTTTTTCTGAAATTCGCAAGATTCGAGCATTGTGAAATTCATTAATAGAGTGCGCAAACTTCTCGCGTTAATCATTTTTTAATGCGAGAAAAGAAAAAAAAATATGTGAGATTCTCGCATTGTAGTGAAAGCACTGATCAGTCACCGTTTACGCCACAGGGAGTCTTCGGCCGGCTGGGATCGAACTCTTCGACATGTGTCCAGCGCTCTACTGACCACGCTATCCTGGCCTCATCTCTAGTTTGATGAAATCATATAAATATACCTGACACATGTGCAAGAAAGGTTTTCAGAGATGAAATTAAACTGTAGTTAATGTATAAGTTTATGCTTTATATAAATTAAGTTAAAACAACGAGATAAAAAACCATAATTAATGTCTCACAAGCAGTCATATAATCGTTTCGGTACTAAAATGAAGCATATGATAAAAGTCAAAACATAGTGTAGACTAGGGGTGCACAACCTTTTTGAGTGAAGGGCCACTTGCACAGCAGGTTGGCTAACGAAGGGCCGCACATGTATTTAGACATGTTAATGGCAAATGTAATAATGTTTATTTAAGCATTAGCGTTCCATGTTCTTTATCAATAAACTTAGTAATATCAATAACTTAGTAGTGTTACATTATTAGAATTCATTCAGAAATTAAAAAACTTGATACTTTTTTTTTTTTTTTT